AATGTAAAAGTATTTATTGACCATCTATTCACACAGCTCCACAGACTCTTTGGGTGCATGCTGGTTCTCCCTAGTCAGTCTTCAACACCCTTGCTCAAGTTTTCCTTTCTCACTCTGAAGCTGTTCTCCAGGAGCCCACCCTGACCACCCACAGTGTTTCAGATCGGCATCAGGAGCCCACCCTCAGCTCAGCAGCCAGCCATCATTTATCCATCTTGTCCCCTGCCCCGTTTGCCCAGGGTCCTTTCATCAAGTCCTATTCACTTAATCATCCCACTTCCACCTCCCTCTCCTTTCCAGTGCTGTAGACACTGGCTTAGAACTGGCCCCATTACTCCTAGACTGCTCAATTTTCTCCAGTCTCGTATTTAAAAAAAAAAAAATCTCGACCAAGAGGACTTGCTTAGTTAAAAGAAGTCTTCCCCTATGTTGGCCCATGATCTGTCCATGACTTTTCCTTCTATTTTTACTGGTATAGACATAGTGCTTATATTGCTGCCAATTATTGATTTACATGCCTGTTCAGAATTTACATTTCTTGTGCATCCTTTTTATTTTTACAAGTTGGCACTATCTGTCCTTGACTATTCTGGCTGGATTTTCTTTTATTCCGTCTAGAAAGCATCTATGCATAGCACTATATCTAGACAGATGCTGAATATAGAATTATCTATTGACTGAAATATACTCTCAAAGTACATAGAAAGCAGCAGGCCTGTGTGTGAGGAAGAACTCACTCCCCAGGGCTCCCTGATGGGGTTGGCTCGTTAGACCCTCCATTTTAGGAGGAACTGAGCACTGTCCCTGTCTGTGACCCTGGAACTTTGTCACTTAGAGGCAGTTCATGCTACCAGACCCATTTGCTGAACTGCCAGGATGGAGAGGCAGCCTTAAGTAGAAAATGAAAACTCTTGAGAGATGGTTACCTAAAGGTATCCTCTTAAGAGCTTAATGCTGAACTCGAGAGGTCCAGAATCAGGAACAGACAATTAACAGCAAATATTTTAGCAGTGAAGGCATTATAGTGCTTTTCAGATATAATGTGGGGGCTCCTCTTGGCCCCCTCCCCATCCAAATAAAAAGAGGAGCCAGTGGAAGTCAAGATAGAGAGACTTGACTGTTGGTTTTCACTCCACTTCAAATTCCAAGGGAGAGACCTGAGACTTCTCGGACAGAAGGCAACAATGGAGACAAAACTCAGTTCTAGATTCTGAAGCAAATCCAGACTTAGGGGCTCAGAGAACGTTCTCTCTGGTGCTACTCTTGTTTTTTCTAGTTTCTCCCAAGTTCCTAACTCCTTTAAAACCCCAAACTACTATTTGGAAATCAGAATTCATATTTAAAGACAGAAATGGATTTTTCAAGTTTCTTTTGAAACCTCCTCTTCTCTTTCCTCCCCTGAGTCTTTTGAACTTTTCTCTAGTTTACTGGTAGCAAGTAGAACATTCCCCAAACAGGAAAACATGCAATGAAACCTTGTTGTAACGTCCATCCTTTTAATATTTTTCTACCTAGATCATTCAGTTTGACAAGTCCCAGCTGAAGGGTTAGAATGTAGTGTTGCTGCCACATCAAATTTTCACACAAAAAATCTTCAGAGAACTTATCAACAGGCAGGATTACAAAGAAAAGAAAAGAGATGTCTAAAGTGGCCCATCTACAGGCAAAGGAGTGGTACCATAAGCATGAAAGGGGAACAGAGAGAATGTGCATTGACTGCGGCTGCCTCTGTTTACCCGATTGTCACTGACTATCTTGGAATGAGTGTGTGCCCCTCAGGCCTAGGCATCTCTACCACCAGATGCAGCTGTGTACCAGCAGAAGGTAAGGGGGCTGCAGAAACCTGGGAGGAACCCTATCACCTGATGACCCTGGGCCTCATGATTCCAATCCCTAGGTTTTTTAACATTTTCAGTATTTTGGGATGTACAACATGAACAGGAAGGTGGGTACAAGAAACAGGAAAACGTCAACTGGATTACTCTAATTTTATATTATGGTTTTATACAAACACACATACAGGTTAATTTTCTCAACCCTGCTAAGAGATTAAACCAAGGGCCAATAGTTCTGTTTGCTATCTGCTAGTGAAGGGATTGTTACCTGCCCAGCAGCCCAGAGAGGAGGCTGACTTAAAAGGACAGGAATGTCAGCTGGAAGCTCTCTGACGCCTGCTTTTGAAAGCAAAGGACAGCAGCAGTCTAGCTACAAGGAAACTTCAACTTAATGGACAGAAAATCTTAGATAAAGAAATTAAAGTTTTTCTTTGCATTTTAAGACATCTCTCTTTTTTGGAAAATAAAAGTATTATTGTGAAATAGAATGCACGTACAGAAATGTGTACAAAACATGAATGTAGAGCATAATAAATATTATAAAGCAAACATCCATGTACCACCACCAAGACCAGAAGCCAGAGCACTGCCAACATCCCATAGGGGTCTCTCTTCTCAAAAGTGAGGAGTCCAACACTGGACTTCTTTTTTAAATTTGGGGCTAACAGCCTCGTAGACTTACCAACTTTGACCTTTTTCTTTCCTCCCTGTAGTTCATCCTCCAAAAGAGGTTTGTAAAGTAATTGCTCACAATATCTATGCTCACTGAACTAGTGCTCGATTTAATTTTAATAAAACAATTATTTAAGGATTTGATGCAGGACAAAATAAAAATAAAAATGACAAAAAAAAAAAAAAGGGTTTCTCACACACTGAAAATATCAGCATATCCTTTTCCAAAACGCTAGGATGTGTGAGACGTTGCTTCCAGCCAGAATGCTGAGATGCACAGGCACATCTCCCTTTGTCAGGGGCACATGCCTGAAACAAGCATTTGCAGTTTCAGCAAAAACAGCACCACCTACTTCTATTCAGTAAGGTTTTCCCACCTTCAAAGGCTGTAACATAATAAAACCTAACATATAGAATGTGAAGTTTTTAAAATTTAGAAGCTTAATTAATATTCTGCACTTCAGCATAGGATGTACAATCTCTTTAGAATTGAGGTTTGAGGGCAAATATTGTCATAAGGAGATAAATTAGCGCCAATTCTAGACAGAAAGTGAAAGTAAAAGGAAGTTCCACTTGCTTTAGGGCAAAGGCATATTATCCTTATCTTTATATCCCCTCTGCTGCGTAACCAGTGCCTTATTATTAGAAGCTATTTATAGATGTTTATTGATTAAAGGCATTTTTACATGAATAATTTCAGAAAAAGAAAATAGAATCATGCTTATTAGTTTTGATGTGTGTTCGTGGCTTCTTAATTATACTCAAAATGTGGAGAAAATTAAGCTTAGGATTTCAAAAACTATTATTCATAATAGACTCAGGAATGCAAGGAAGCTGTGAGAAAAACACATTTTTTTCTAGTCTTATTTTTCACTTTTGTTTCCTCCAGGTAGTGTGGAGCCCAGTTTCAGGGCAAGAATCAGAAAGAGTTACAAGACAGGAGAAAACTCAAAAAAAAAAAAAAAAAAGAAGCGAGGCTGTCTCTTTGTTCCCGTTCCTCCCTAGATTAGGCGATCAAGGGCAAACAGAAGGCTGGCTGCAGAGCCTGACTTCTTGCACAGTGCCACCTAGTGGCCCAGGATCTGAAATGGTTTTTATTTTGCCAAAGGTTGAAAAATTGGAAATTCCAAAGTTGTGAACAGATTTGATAAGTCGTTACTCATATTTATGGGAGAGTGTAAATACCAGCTGACAAGCCATTTGGATAGATTTCATTTCAAAGAGTGTGTCTCCTATCAATAATGGCCATGTCTTCACTTCTACACACAAGTCGCCCGACTAGTCTACACCTGAGTGGTGAGGCAGCATCCTCTCTGCCCACACCTGCCCACGCTTTCCCAGGAGTCGATAATAAATCAAATCTTGGCTGTGCCCAAAGGAAGTCTGGAAAGGAAGCTGGAGGTCAGCCTTCTGATGGGCAACCTACTATTTTTGTTTAAAGGAGCATGTTTAAAGAAAGTTAAGAACCTGGTCTTAACTTGCCTTCCAAGTTAAAATGAAGCTAAGGTTGTAGATTGTGGCTTTTTTCTTGGCCAAGCTTTTCATTCCTCTGCATGTTGCTAAAAATCAGACCTGGCAGGCACTCTCTTTTAGCATGCGAAGGCCCCACGCTAGACATCGGTGCCAATAATTTCAAGAGGGACGTGGCAAGAAAGAAAAGGAAATTACGAACAATGATAAAGAGGTTTCCCGCCTCCTTTCTTAAAAGCATACCCACAGCTGTTTCCAGACATTGCTCAAAAACATAAAGCCCTTGAGAGGAAAGCTGTGAGAAGACCAAGTTGTCTGCCTGGCCAAAGGCAGCAGAATCTCAGGTAATTCAAGAGTTGACTCAATTAGAACCCATCTGGCAAAACAGCAAAGATCAGGAAGTTCCATTTTTTGGCTGTAGTTTCCGGCTTCCTGGAACGAAAACTGACTGAGCAACTAAAGAGAAGTTGAATTTAAGTAGGCCAAGGCCATGTATGTAGGCCAATGATGGACCTGTTCCAAGTTGGTTAGGAGAGTGGCAGGGTAGGTCAACAAGTGGGTGGGAAAGTTGGACCAGGTGACTTCAAGATTGGATGACCTTTGATTCACTACACTCCCTTCACTTGGAATCATACATGAATAGAAATAATCTTCCCAATAGTTCTAGGTAAACTGAGACCACCCTAGAGTGTTTAGCATGAATTGATAACACATGGTTTTATAAATGAAAGAATGAAAAGAGGCAGACAGAGAAAATGAGAAGTCTAAGAGCTGATGTTATGCAAAGTGTGTATGTGCATGTGTTTATACACGTGTGTGTGTGTATACTCTGGTGCTGTGCAATTAAATTGCAAAAGAAACAATCACTTTCCTTTTCTTGAACTTAGTCAGATAGATCTCTACTCCTGCTTAAAATTCAAAATGTTAGCAATGCAGCCCTGGTAATACTGAGACACTAACCAGAAAACCCCAGCAAGGCATGTAGAAGCACGAGGCCCAGGGCTGTCAGGGGGTTCCAAGTACCTGTTTTGGTCAAAGGGATTGAGAAGAGTTGCTGAAGCAACTTGTTTTTCGACGTTCTCAGGACTACAACCACATCGGCAGGGAGAGTGTCTCTGTTTTTCTCAAGAACCCCAGAAGCATCATATAATACCTGCAACACGAATATCAAATCGCAAATTAGCCAATACTGTCCATTGTTGGTGACACTGGCAGGTTGTCTGAGGTCAGTCATTAATCGAACTCCATATAGAATTCATCTTGACACAGCCATGCTTTTAAATCCAGACCACCAGATAAGGGGAAAAAATTGTAACTTTTGACAGGCCAGTTTATTTTAACTTCTTGTTCAGTTGAAGAAAAGAGTCATAGCAAAGCTATATCACATCAGAATAATTATGGAAATATACTGGACTCTCACTGTATGTGAAGCATCCATCCTATAAGGTAAATACTATTATCATCTCCATGTTACTGCTGCGTAAACAGACCTTAGAGAAAGGCTGAGTCCCTTGGTCACACATTTCACAAGTGGTAGGCATACATCAAAACCCAGGCAGTTTGGCTCCATGCTCATAACCACTGTTCTCTCACTGCTTCCCAAGGTACTCATGGGACCTGAGTGAGTATTCAGAGATGCTGAGCGAGAAGTTCTCAGAACAGAGGGGTCAGAGAAATTTTAAGGAACACTCCAGAGAAATAAGATTAAGTGGCAAATGAATTCAGTAAAAGACACAGAGCCCAGAAAGAAAAGGATCCTTTTTTCCATTAAAATCAAGAAAGGGGAAGAGGGAGAAAGAAGGAAGAAGAAGGGTGAGTAGGAAATAGGTATAAAAGGACAGAGAGATGGAAAGAGAGGTGAGAGGAAGAGGACGACAGGAATGGGAGGCAGAAGAGAAGAATGGGGGCAGGGATCAGGGAGATTCGATCCAGTTGACATGTAGAGGAGATTACTATGCAGTCAGACATCAATGCTAAGGCAAATGAAGTATTTAAGGGTAAAAACTGGATTGCAACTTCTAACAAAGATCCAAAATAGATACCAGACACTATGTGGAGACAAAACCAATCCCCTTTTACTTGTATTAAAACTGCCTTTTAACCAACCTCCAGTCAAGCAAAATTAATTTCAATGTCATAATATGAACGTGAAAAATAATTCTGATAAGTCTTAAATCAACAAAATAATCCAAAATGCCTTTTATTGAACTCCCATCCATTTTCTGGACCGAGGACTTTAGCAGACCCCACCGGAACCAACTAGCCATAATTCAAATGGCACCTTTGACAGTTACTCAAGCAATGAGTTGTTGGCTACAGAACTAGAGAATTTCCGGAATCAGTCATTAATCTGCTTCAGGAACTTGAAATTGAGACTGAGGCATAATATATGAAAAGTGGAAATTTCAGTTAATGTTGTAAAAGCTTAACATCTGCATAATGAAGTGAAATTTTTTTCCCTTTTCATCTAGACATTTTTGGTGCCCTGTAGACATATACTTAAAGTGCTAAAAATTAAGCCCCACTGTGATATTAACCCTTCTCCATTACCTACACATTTCCAAATGACTTTCAAATGTGAACATTCACTGCTAAACACTGCAAACGCTATAATACGTTTTCTCTCTGGAGAGCTGTCACATCTAGGCCAAATCTCAGGTGAGAAGCAGATGGCAGCTCTGCGGGCCACCCCAGTGAGAAATTGCTTCTTTGCCAGGGGCAACTTTCTGTGAACAGCACCACTGAGAAAGTTTGGGAATTATGATTAGGTGTTCAAGAAGAATTAAAAGGAGAAAGAAATCTGCATGCAATTTCGTCAGCAGCACAGACAGGGTAATATGGACACTTACCTCCTGTCAAATTCAGGTTTAATAACTTACGCTTGCCTCACCTTTCCAGCATAGTGATGAATGCCAAAGCACAGCTCCACTCCTTTGGGCCTCCAAAAGTATTTGCATCGTAGATTATCTTCAAATTTATCTGTGTGGATTTTCATGTTTAAAAGTTACAATGTGAATTGTTTGCCCCTTCAAACAAAAATGTGCTCCTCTAGCCATGAGTGACCCAAAATAAGGGATTTCAGGGGAGCCTGATATTACCATCGTATGTACAATGGTGGAGAAAGATCCCCTGTAAGATGGGCATTTACAATCAAGTCCTTGTTTAATTGTTTCATATTGTTTTTAGTGTCAGGCTGTACCCTAAGATTTCATTCTCTGTTCTCTCTAAGAACCCCTAGCATGGACATTGATGACACCAGAAGTTCAGCCAATTAGCTTTATAACTACGAAGATACAGAAGGCAAAAAACTCTAGTTTAAACTCATCTTGGCAACCTGTGACAATTTTATAGATAAAAGGAACCACTGAGGGTGACAATCTCAACTTCTAGAAGTGAATCTATCCCACAAATCAATTTCCCATCTGGGAAAAAGGCTCAAAACTTTCTGTTCCTCCCTCAACAAACAATTTTGCTATTGTTGTGATTGAGAGCCTAGTCTGTGTGAGGAACTGTGCTAAGCACCTAAGGGATGCAAGGATTGGGGCTTTGTTGCCCCAAGCATTTCACAATCTAAGTAAAGGACAGGATCATGTGCAACACTGAGGATTTGAGAAGAAGGAGGTCAAGAAAAACAGGGGTAAAACATAAAGGGCCTTTAATGCCAGGAGGAGGTGTTTAATTGTCATCCCATGGATACCAGAAGAATGAAAAGGTAGCTTTAGAAAGACTAAATTAGCTGGGCTGTCTATGGCAGAGGGGAGGAGTACGAGCCTGGAAGCCAGAAGACCAGAAGGGGCTTTTATACAAACTTGGACTAGAGGTTGACGGGGATCCAGGAAGAGATATGAGAGAAGAGTACGAAAAAGAGAGGAAGCAAGTATTGGTTACGGGAAGTAAAGGAGAATAAGGCGTAAAAATGATATTGATATAGGGTAATGGTATTTCTGTTTGCAGAAATTGAAAGTAAAGAGGGTTTGAGAGATGGTGATAGGTTTGCTTTAAGACACAAATTCTATCAGGACATTTGCTGAACATTTCAATTCACTAAAAGCAGGATCTATACTTTTATAACCCACTGGGTGGCCAAAACACACAGGATAGATTCATTAAACCAAACTCATTTGATGACATGAGGCAAGTTCTCTTCTGAGCGTCTATGCCTTTTCCAAAAGGTACCCACCAACTAGCGTCTGATCAGTTGCTCGGGGAAACCGACTTTCCTCATCTAAAAGTGCAAGCAGTCCCAGGGGTTTCTGGAGGAACATATCCAAGAGTGGGCGATTGTCCTCATACTCCACGGGTGTAGCGTCAATGCCCTCATTCTTATATTCCATCTGGAAGGAAATGGATTGTGAATCTCTCCAGCCCAAAACTGACCTAGGTACCACCAGGCTGCTTCAGCACGCACTTTCTGTGTCAGGCCACACTGAATGGATGTGGAAAACAGGGTCTGTTTAACGTTAGTAGGAAAGGACTCTTCTGCATATAACACTGTTGAAGCTTTGGTTTTAAGTCTGACCTACGGGTGGCCTGTGGCAGGCAGCAGAAGCTTGCAAAAGAAGGGATGGCTCTCTGTCTCCCAAACACGAACTTGGTAACTCATAATTTAGAAACTGATGTAGAAAGGAAGAGAAGTTGAAACAAATTTATTTTGGTGACAAGTATGGTTTAAACCAGGACTAAAGTAAACTTCTATCTTTTGCAAAGGGTTCTGCAAGGGAATCATCTCAGACTAAAAAACTAGAAAAATTCCAGATTTCCCAGGGAAATAAATGGAAGGAACCCAGACTGAAACAAAGTCGAGTTTTGCGCAGGATGAGCAGAGAGAGGAATGTGATACAGATTTATCCACCTTCAGTGACAAAAATCAATACTGGTATTTTTACTCCATGTCTTGTGTTTACCTAATCACAGTATAGTTTGTGTGTGCGTCCTCACTCCTGCATTAAAACAAGAGGCTTGGTCAGAATGTTTCAGTATTGCAACTACTTCATACAGAAGAGTCTTGGAGTTGGGGTAGGGGGTGGGGTGGAGGAGAAGGGCCACTAGCCTTTGGGTCCACTAGCTTCACACCTTGTTTTATTGACCTTTAAACTCATAGGGGAAAGATTTCCATTTCAGAAAACTGCGAACAAATCTTACTCCTCCCTGGAGACACTCTAGTTCCTGCGGGATCTGGTATGCAGAAGACAGGGGTTGGGGATGGCCAGTTTGGGAGTTAAGTAGCCAGTGTTGAGAACCACTGCCCAAAACAGTAAGAACCCATATCCTGAATTCAAGATCATCTTGTGTCATTTTAGACACAATCATAGATATTTTTAGTTAAATAAAGTAGAAGAGAATACAGCATTTGGGGAAATACACATGAAACAGTTTGGAAGCAATATTAAAATAATTGGCTTGTCACCAGCTCCACTCAAGTGAGGAAATGTACCTTTCTGCAGAAATCAAGACCTCTTTTTTTCAGACTAAATTTAGACTTTATTTATTTTGACAAGACTGCCTCACCAGTGGTTTTTTTCCTTAGAGCCTTTTACTTGTTTGTCTGACTAACAGGGTTTTTGCTTTAAATTGGGGCAGCACAGAGACACCTTCCCCCATCAGCTTTAGTGACTTCAGAGTTCATTATTACCTGTTCAAGAGCAAAAACATGCTGATTGAAATAGTACTGGATTTGCTCATTGGCGATGTTTATGCAGAGCTGCTCAAATGAATTTCTCTGAAAGTTCTCGAACCCAAAAATATCCAAGATCCCCACATTCAAACCATCCTCTGCACTACTGCATGAGAGAGAAGAACAAAACCCTTTAGGGGAGGAAACATCCAGCTCAGAACAATGAGAATACATGTGCCTGAGGGCTCATCAATACATGTACTCGCTCATGGAAAGCAGCCTCCTGCCGCCTCTAAAGGAAGAAACAGTTTATGTCTTAAACCATTTGTTCCTTCAGTCTTCAACAGCATTTCCAGTTTCTTTTTTAAAGCAGTAGAATCCTTTAAAATCTTACTCAGAAGCTCCATAAACAGAGAGATTAAAGAAGAAGCACTCTGTTTGAAGGGGCTAGAGCTGCTGCTCATTTATTCTTCTACTTTCCCATCCACAAGGCTTAACTGGAAGAACACTATTTAGAATTTGATGTTGTCAATTCTTCCACAATACAGAAACCACTAACGCTTAGGAAAGAAAAAGTAGTAGTGGTAATAATGTAAGATACTGTGCTTTGAAACTTTTCATGAAATGTCTCAGTTGATTCTAAGAGCAACACTATGAGGAGGATATTACTACCCTCATTTTACAGACGAGAAAACCGCGACTTAGAACAAACAGCTGATTAAACTGTAGAGCTTGTCTGTGAACCCAGTTGGTCCAGCTCCCAGGCAAGCCTGTTCTCTTAAACACTACACTATAATGGCTCTGTCAAGCATGTGCTTCTCAGGTATAAACACTTCAGCTCTCCTGGATCCTCCTGTGACTTTTAAAGGAGAAGGCCTGAGAGCTTTGCTAAAGAAAACCCAAGAAAGGTCCAAACACTTCCTCTTGCAAACTGTAAGAGACACCAGGGTCAGTGACAGCTGTCCTGAGGCCTCTGCTCCCTAGGGGAACTTGCCATATGTTTTTGTCTGGCTGCAGGAGTGTATTGATGCGATTTACAATCCAGCTGAAGAGCCTCCCATACAGGGCTTTGGACATGGCATCTCGGACGTCTGCAGCCCTGTCGACGGTGTTGGTGCGGATGATAGTCTCGCCCCGGGTTACCACACAGTACGAGGTGAGGGCCTCCTGGAGCTCTTGAGGGCTGATGCAGAGAACACAGGCAGCTGGAACAAAGAGTGAGGATGACACCCGAGAATGTAGTCATCTATCCACCTACTCATTCAGCCAGCCAGCCAGCATTTACTCAACATCTTCTATGTGCCAGGCTCTATCCTCAGCACTTCAGAGTCAAAGATAAACAAGCCAGGTCCCTAACCCCAAGAAGCAATCAGAATGACACAGTTTCTCCCAAACTGCTCTGAAAGCTCTTGGCAGGTGTTAAAGAAAAAAAGTGGGAGGAAGTGGTCTTTAGTCAAATGAGTTGGACCAATTGCTGGAGACTACAGTCTCCTCTTAGAGAGTCACAAAGCACATTAGTATATTAGAGGCCATAAAAAGTGCTGCAGTTTAACACAAAAGGTGTTTACTTTATTTAAATCAGTTTCTTTTTCTAACTCAGGATTCTTATTCCTTGTGCACTCATTATTACCTGTAGAACTTTAAAAATAAATAGACACCTGCTTTCTCCCCAGCAGATGCTGATTGAGTGGCTTCAGAGTGGGGTCCAACCTCTTGTATTTTTTTCCAAAATTTGCAGATGATTTTCAAAAGCAGCCAGTGTTGAGAACCACTGCCCAAAGTTACCTGCCATGGAATTCTTTTCTGCAGAACACCTATCTGCAGCTTATGGAAAGAACACTGATGTTCTACAAGACATCTTTTGGGAAGTACTGGTTAGTAAAAACACCCAGCACCAGCAGAAGAACCAGCAATAGCCACACAACATTTTAAGAGTCAAGAAAAACTACCAAAGTGAAAGAAACATGTACTTTGGCAACACATTGCACAGGCATCAAATAATTACCATTTTCCAAAGCTTCAGCATTGGGGACCTCACTTTTATCAGTTTGATGTTGAGAGGAAATAGCTGCAAACTCAATGTTCCCAATATTCAAAATTCCAGCCAAAATTCTGTACACTGAGTGTACCTCCTGAAAAGGACATCAAGAAGGTGATTGTCAATCAAACTAACAAACCACTAGCACTGTGATGGAAACTGCTGTTTGTCCACCAAAGTTCACCCTTCCTCTTTTCCTGAGCACACAAATTTCTTAACCCCCCTCACAGTTAGGGGTGGCCATGCAACTAAATTCTTAACAAAGGAGCAAGTGGAATGATGTTGGCCACTTCTGCGCCTGGCCTTATGGAAGCCAGCCTGCCTCCTCCTTGCTTTCTTTCCCAGCTACCCAGCCTCAACCATGCCATTGATTAGAATGCCGGAGACCAATGATTGCATGGAATGGAGTTGTTCTGCAGCCTGAACTTCTTACCTTAGAATGTTCATACAAGAGAGAACTGATCTATGTCCTTTAAGCCACTTTTAGTCTTTTACCCTAAACTAAAACCAGCATCCAAATTCAGGTAAGGTTCTTTCTTCAAAACAAGAGAGCAGATGTTTCCTTAAACTCTTTTGAATATAGCTTTTATGAAATAGTTGGCAGGGCATTCATTGATGGTTCACTAGAACGTTTTGAAGTAAAATAATGGAGTATGTACTTATAAATGAGGTCAGGAAATATTTTGAAAGACTTAGGAGAAATTATCTGTGATACTGTGATATAATAAGAAATATATATATTTGGTCCTCATACTGATTTCTGACACAAGAACTTCTAAAACTTTTGGAATTTTCCTGAGTGATAGTGGTGAGAGGCGTGTCCTTTGTTATTCATAATAAGCTGTTTCAACCATACCTGAGTTTGTGCTAATGAGGTGACTTTTGGAGGATGGGGGCTAGTTGCCAGAGGAACCAATCATGTGATTAAAGGGTTGGAACCTTTTAGCCACCCGCCCCTCCTCTCCTCTGGAAGGGGAGAGGGGCTGGAGATTGAGTTAATCACCAAAGGGCAATGATTTAATCGGTCATGACTATGTAATGGAACCTCCATTAAAACCCCTAACTGATGAGGTTCAGAGCACTTCTGGGTTGGTGGACACATGGAGGTGGTGAGAGGAGGTGGCACCCCCTCCCAATACCTTGCCCTATGCATCTCTTCCATTTGGCTGTTCCTGAGTTGTATCCTTTATGATAAACCAGTATTAGTAAGTAAACTATTTTCCTGACTTCTGTGAGTTCTTTTAGCAAATTACTAAACCCTAGGAGGGGGTCCTGGGAACCCCCAATTTATAGCTGGCTGGTCAAAAGTAGAAGAATTCTGGGACTTGTGATCGGTGTCTGAAGTGGGGACAATCTTGTGGGACTGAATCCCTAAGTTGTGTGATCTGATGCTAATTCCAGGTAAACAATGTCAGAAATGAATTGAATTACAGGAGAATTGATGGGTGTGGGAAAAACCTCCACACAATTGGTGTCAGAAGTATTGTAAGCAAAAACAGTTCAGATGATGTCTTATTTTTACACCGAAAGTTGAACACATAACATTAATGGTGAAAAAAGCAGCACCGATGGTTAAAAAATAATGTACAATTATTTATTTAAGCATTTGCCTTTCCTATAGGTAAGACAAACGAAATATACAGCCAGGAAATTTCTGCATCTTACACTTATAGATAGAGAAAAGTACTTCCACAAAAAATACTCAGGCAGGGCACTTGATTTAGTACTATACATAGCAGCAAACTAATAGAACTGTCATTAGACCATTGATAAAGCATTGTTCCCAAATCAAGGCTTTCTGTAAACATTACTCAGTAAAGCCAAAAAACTGAACACAGACTGTAACACTGACATCTGCTGGATACCTGATAATGCTACAAAGACAAATGAGGATTTTAAACTGGGTTTCTACTATAGATAAATATTGCTCTTCAAACTTCTAAATCAAAGGCAAGATGTCATGTTTCTGACGTCAAGAATCATTGTCTTAACCACACAACTTAAGAGTAGCTAAGGAGAACACCTCCCAAATGGGTTTTCTGGGATTAGGCTGAATTTAACATGACAGCACCTCATTACGTTGATCAATATACAGTGTGAGGTTGTGGAATGCATCCAGCAACTTCCCAAGGAGGCAGAGCCCGAGGGTAACACAGAGACTCAACAGCAGTGAGTTCTATATCTGTTATTTCTATCTCCAGTTATCTCAAGGGCTAATCTAGAACTCTCAATACTCTTAGGGAAAAAATGTATTTCCTCTAATTAAAACACACACACCACGTATGACAGTACAAGCCATGAAACCTCACAAAATGAGACTTCCAGGCATTTCACCACTGGGGTGATCATCCCCAAATGAAATGGTGGTTCTCGCCCTGTTGCTTCTCTGGCAACACCGTCTTCAGCACAATGCTCAGACACATCCTCTTTTAAAGAGGAAAACTACCTAGGACCTTCAGTGAAAACTTTGGGGTTCAAATACTGTGTGAATGACTGAAGTTAATGGTAGGTGGGTCTCCTTCCTTGGTTCATTGAGAAAAACTCAAGAAGGGGTATCCAGTGCTCACCTCATTATGGAGGTATCAGCCATAGGTTCCCTGTGCTACATTTCCAGGCTATTCGACTTGACTCCTTCAGTCTCACCCTTGGGTTAATTAGATCTTCCTTTCTGGCCTATGAACTTACATCCACTCTTGTGTTTGGGTCAAAACATCACCCAAATACAGTCACAGTAGTATGTCCATCTACGGGATTACTCCTCCCTCCCCAATACTTAACTGTCTCTTCTTTTCTCCCTACAGCCAACCTTGGAAGGATTTTTCACCTTCTTCACTTTGCTTATTTTCTCTTCCTTCATCTCCAGCTACTACGGAGCCTTTCCTGGCATCCCCGCCTTTGCTACCGAGTCTTGCTCTGATGCTCTATTTTTTTTATTTCTCACCAGTTTTCAATTTCCTATATGATAAAATGGAATAACCTCATTCAGGACAGAAAATACTATTAAGAAGACTAATAACTCCTCCAGCTGGGTTTCCTAATTCATTCTTGATGAATATCAATTCACTTTTACCACTAATCAGCAAAAGTTGGGGAGAAAGAGCCTTTCTCCATCAAAGCCCCATGCAAGATATATGAACTTTGATTCTTCTCTCTTTTCCTCAGAAAATAGCCCTTTTACTGATGTAGGTATTCTCCCAATAAACTTGAAGCTAAGAGGAAAACTGAGAAGGACGTTGGCTTTCTCTGTTAGCCTGGAACTGATTTAAGGAAATCACCCTAGCCTGGTTCACAGGCCTCTCACGGTAGTTCTCTGCTACCTCCCTAGGAATTTACTTGCCCTCCCAGTCTCTCTTCATCTTGATTTTTTATAAGTCTATAGTTTTTCACCAGTTCTACCCTAAGTACTGCATTAGGCCCAGCTGAAGGGCCTTCTCCCTCACAGGCTCTATTTCAATGCCTTTACTCAGTTCTCTTTTCAGACGCTCATAACATTTGTATCTTAAAAGTCAATGGTTGGCTCAAAAACAATTTTTTTTAGGTGCTCGCCCCATGGCCTAGCGGTTAAGTTCAGCGCACTCCACTTTGGTGCCTGAGGTTCAGTTCCTGGCACGGACCTACACCACTTGTTGGTGACCATGCTGTGGCAGTGACCCACAAAAAAAATAGAGGACTGGCACAGATGTTAGCTCAGACAAATCTTCCTCAAGCAAAAAGAGGAAGATTGGCAACAGATGTTAGCTCAGGGTGATTCTTCCTCAGCAAAGAAAAAAAAAAATTTGTATATTAATCATATATCAACAAAGTAGTCTTAAAAAAAGTCAATAGTAAATCCTATTGTTTGTCATTAAGACATTGGAAATACTCAAGAACCCCAATTTATATCTTAACATATAAGCCTTCAGTCTTTTCAGCAGTACTCTCCCAAATTCAAAATTTATTTTGAGAAAAGGGAAAAAAATTTGCCCTAATCTCAAAGCCTTCTCCCTAACTGCTTTATCAAGGGATCTGCTTATTGCGAGTAGAAGACTCCTTCCACCAGGGAAGTTTCTTTACACATTAAACTCGGGTTCAAATGTTCTTTCAGATACTTTTGGCTGATGTCGCAGAATTAAAATTCATGCTTCTGAGTCCACGCTAAGGTGTGCTACTCCTAATTTAGCTATAAAGTTTTGGGAAAAACTGAAGGGATTCCTGCAGGGGACTAGTGACATTATAAGAAAGGACAAGAACTATAATTTTAATTAAATTGACCAGTTCATTAAAGCTCTATCTAGAAACGTCCCTCAGAAAAACTTAAGAAAAAGTTTTTACATCAGCTATTTGGCATCTGCTGCCTGACCTCATTCAACTGAATCTTTCTGAATTTAGTCAAACTACTTTGAGTTTATAAACATAAAGTGAACTGAGTTAATTCATCAAAACAGAGTGTCTATAGAGATATAGACAAAGATATAACCAAAGAATTTAAAGTCAGAGAGATAAGATCCAGCCTCTTCCTTCATTCCATTTCCAAGGTTGCTAACTGACAAGGTCAGTTTATTTCCAGTATGAATTAACATGGGACATAGTGAACATACACACATATACATACAATTGCATTCTGGTTATTCATTTAACAGTCCAGATCAGGCACAAATTAATAATGTTGACTCTCTTTTACATTTCCTTTCTTTTCACATTTGTTCACGCAGTCATTCATTCATTACTTCTGTACTTTTTTTTCCACAAGGGTTAGAGATGGCATACTTCAAGGATACATACTTAGCATATTTAATTTCTTTTGTTTTTAATTTTGTTATATTAAAGTAGCATCTGTTTTATTATTATTTGCAGTACATTTCTATTATTAGAACAGAGCCATTATCTACTTTCTTTTAGAGCCAGGACTAATTTCTTCACAGTATTCTATAACCATCTTTGTATTCTTTGAAAACATAATCTTATTAACCCTATGGCTGACTTCTTTATTGTTCTTGTACCCTTTTAAGGTAGAATGTCCCTAAACACTTTGGCATGACCCAGGTGACTTTAAATCGCTACTGCTATCTCCACCACACTTTGACTGTTCTGGTGATGCACCTTTGATAACAACCAGCTCCATAAATTAATAACCATAAAAGTCCTTTAACAATGCTGGAACCTGTTTAATTGTTCTCCTCTAAAAAATCCAAGGAAATATATTTCTATTTTTATCTGACCTTTGGGATTTTCCACTATCTGTCAGTTTAAAGTCTGTGGGAGGCCGACAGAGAAAATTAACAGCTGGCTAGAAAGAAGAAAGGTATTATTATGACTAAAATCAACCATGCTGGGGAGGGAAGGGTTGGCCAAACTTATTGGATTACAGAAGCAATCCTTTATCCAGAGTAGCTGTCCCAGAGTAACTCAAGTGTCTTGTAATCTAATCCCTTAAGATTTAACACTCTCACCTACTTCCTAATCATTCACCTCCTTTGTTGGAAAAGCAAAAGAATCTGTATATTTTGCAAAATTGATGGCATGAAGCCCAGATACTATAACATGAATGTATCTCAGAATAATATTTGAGCCTAGGGTTATAAATATTTTCTGTCACCCCTGGCATATATTTAATAGAGACAGCCTGTATCTAATAAGATAACAGCAGTACAGTACTTAGAGCTATAGTTAATAGTGTGCAACTGTGTACCATGGAGAAGGAAGTGATTGTAAAAACGTTGCAAAGGTTTAAATTAATTTGTCTTGGTGTACAAGGAACTACTTGCATAAATATATTTCTGTGGCTTGGGTGTAAGCTACATATTCCTGTACTCCTATTACACAATTCACTATAATGGTTGTAACAACCCCAACTCAGCAAAGGGCAGTATTGTTTTGGTATTAGTGATCACAGCTGTAGTGAAGTGATGACAGTGATAACAATTCATAGACACCTTGCACTTACAACAGTACTTCTACTCTAATGTTCATCTGCACATCATGTTAAAATGCAGATTCCAATTCACCTACTCTTGGTTGGACCTGAAAATCTGCATTTCTAGCAAGCTCTCAGGTGATGACAATGTTTCTGGTCCTCAGGTCACACTTTTTTTAACAAGACCTTATAACCTGACCAGCAGGGCATTTAAAAAGCAAGTATCCTGCCCCAAGTTAGAACATTCATATCTTCACTCACATTGATTCAAAACATTAACACTTGAGGTTCTTTCTCTCCTGACAATCACTTACCTTGTGAGTGAACCCTATAATCCTGAAGCAATGCTGAATTGCTTCAAACTGTCTTCTGTAAGACTCCTTGGAAGTTATGTCATGCATCACCCTTCCAGTCTCATCAGCTATGTACCTAAATAGCATATGAACAAACAGAATGAGCATTGACATAGTGAATGACACCCCAAATACCAGGGCATCATTGGACTCCTTCTTTGCAAGGGCATTTCCCTTACAGTCGAACACTGCAGTGAAATAATGGTGCATGTGGCTGAGTAAAATGGCTGCAACTGAGTTTTTGAATGTTCCAGGAAATGCAAATAGTGAGATGTAATTCCTGACATATCATCTGGAGTATTTCAGCTAAAGAGACTGTGAGTGTCCAGTTAGGAAAGTAGCTCCATTTATTTCCAGGTTTTGTCAATTGCTAGTTTTACATTCATTAAAAATTAACAACTGGGGCTGGCCCCGCAGCCCAATGGTTAAGTTCGCGCGCTCCGCTGCAGGCGGGCCAGTGTTTCATTGGTTTGGATCCTGGGTGCGGACATGGCACTGCTCATCAAACCACGCTGAGGCAGCGTCCCACATGCCACAACTAGAAGGACCCACAACAAAAGAATATACAACTATGTACTGGGGGGCTTTGGGGAGAAAAAGGAAAAATAAAATCTTTAAACAAAAAAAAATTAGCAACTAAATCCCCTGGCACTTACCTAGGAGGCTTTTCCTCAGGAAGTCTGAACTCAGAAAGTTTCTTTTGGTGATAAAGTCCAGCATAAATATAGTAAAATATGTGAAAATTTTTCTCTCCCCTGAAAAAAAGGGAGAGGGGACATCATTAACAACATATTCTGGGCTTCCCCACTCCAAGTGATTTATACCATTTCCTTCCCACACAAAATGTTATTCTGTAGCAAATTTGCATTTTCAGGCAATTAAATATGCTACATCCCAACTACAGAATAGTAATAGTGATAGAATTAATGTAGTAATTGTCACAATGTCACATTATTAAACACACTTATGTTTACTATGTGTAGAAGGAGGTTTTAGAGAATAGAAGATTTATAGGTAACAGCTCAGGTTACACACGTTTAGAGACCTTTCTATTGCAGCCCAAATGGCTTTGCATCTGTGCCACATGCCTTCTGTTTGCAGCCCATGTTGTTTCAGAGACAGTGATATCCAGCTTAGAGAGATCAGCCAAACTCCCTACTTTACTGGAGCCCCAGATAGGAAGTGGCTTGCTGGTGGTACAGCAAATTAAGGAGTAGAATTGGTCCCAGAACTGAGGTCTCCACTCTCTCAAACTTATATTCTTTGAAACACAATTCAGGAAGGAGGCTGAGCAAAATGGCAGGATGAGCTAACCCGGGACTCTCTCCCCTCCAAAATACAACCAAAGAAACAGAAAAACTGAATTTCAACCTATGGCCCCTAATGCTGAGACTGTCAGAGACCTAGAGAGCAAGAAGACAGAGAACAGAGAGGCTGAAGCTGGCCTCGGAGGAAGTGGAACGGGGTAAGAGAGAACATCACTCCCTCCTCTAGAGACTGGGATCGCTGCCACGGGTGAGGGAAGGAGCGGGGGAGGGGCCGCGTGACTGGGAGATGGTCCAGGACTCCCACCGCCGGTGCAGTGGAAACCCACTGATGGGGGAAAGCTTCCCTGTGCAAGGACCCCATCAAGCCAGGTCCCCGGGAGACCAGAGAACGAGAGCTGATCAGAATCCAGATCAGCTCATGAGAGAAACTGCTCCTACCCCCCCAAACCACGCTGGCTGCTGCCATCTTGGCTGAAGGCAGAGGGCTCAGAACACGTGGCTCTCGACCCCCATCTAGTGACGACAGGCTGTAACTGCAACCGAATGCTACCACCATGTGCAAAAACCACTCCTCTACCATTCAGCAATTTATAAAAGCCCCAGATCAGAAGGAAAACAATAAAACTACAGAATTAAGTCCTGAGGACTTGGAAATAGGTAAACTAAGTGAAAATGAGTTCGGAGTAGCTATCATCAAAAAACTCAAGGAGGTAGAGGGAAAGATAGAGAAACAAGTCAACGAGTTCTGGAGTTACTTCACAAAAGAGATTGAAACTATAAAGAAGAATCAAACAGAAATACTAGAGATGAAAAATACAATGGACCAGATAAAACAGAATACAGATTCCCTGAATGCCCATGTAGACACCATAGAGGAGCAAATTAGCATAATCGAAGATAGACAGGCTGAATGGCTCCAGACAAGGGAAGAAAGAGAACTAAGGATTAAAAAGAATGAGGAAAATATCAGAGAAATATCAGATTCAATGAGGAGAAAGAATTTAAGAATCATCGGAATTCCTGAGAACGTGGAAAAGGAAAATGGAGCAGAAAGTGTGCTTAATGAAATTATAGAAGAGAACTTCCCAAATCTAGGGATTGAGGGAGAAATGTGTGTGGAGGAAGCTTTCAGATATCCTAGATTTGTCAATGTAAAAAGACCTACTGCAAGGCATATAGTAGTAAAAATGTCAAAAATGAAAGACAAAGAAAGAATACTCAGGGCAGCAAGACGGAAGAAAATAACCTACAAAGTAACTCCTATCAGACTTTCAACAGATTTCTCTACAGAAACCTTACAAGCTAGGAGAGAATGGAGTGACATATTCAAAACTTTAAAAGATAAAAATCTTCAGCCAAGAATACTCTATCCAGCAAAAATATCCTTCAGACATGAAGGAGAAATTAAATCTTTTCCAGACAAACAAAAGTTAAGGGAATTTGTAACCAAAAGTCCTCCACTACAAGAAATCCTCAAGAAGGCTCTCATGCCTGAAAAAATGAAAAAAGGGAGAAAGGGGTCACAAACCACAAAGTAGGGAGACAGATAGATAGAAGCAGAACAGGATAGCAAATATTCAATTATAGCATTAGGATAAAGGTAAGGAAACCAACAAAACAAAGGTGATCTTATCACTCTAACTACAAACTCATAACACGAGTTGGAATAAGAAATGAAAATAATAAATTAGGAGGGGAAGAGCAAAGGAACTAAATCAGTCTAGGTCAAGTAAGTAACAGACCACCAGAGACCAGACTATATTATACACGAGATTCTAAATACAAATTTCAGGGTAGCCACTAAACTAAAAAACAGAACAGAGCCACAAAACATAAACAAGGAAAAATCTAAGAAACCCAGCATAAGAAATTGCAGTAGTCAATGGGTAGGCTAAAACACACAAGACGAGAAACAAAGGTAACGCAGGAAAACCAGATAATGAGCGACAGATTGACAGCATTAAGTCCACATGCATCAACAATCACCCTCAATGTAAACAGATTGAACTCTCCAATAAAAAGACACAGAGTGGCAAAATGGATTAAAGAACAAGATCCAACAATTTCTTGCCTCCAGGAAACACACCTCAGCCCCAAGGACAAACACAGGCTCAGAGTGAAGGGGTGGAAGACAATACTTCAAGTTAATAGCAAGCAAAAGAAAGCAGGTGTTGCAATACTTATATCAGACAAAGCGGATTTCAAAATAAGGCAGGTAAAGAGAGGCACAGAGGGACAATATATAATGATTAAAGGGACACTTCATCAAGAAGAAATAACGCTTATAAATATCTATGCACCCAACACAGGAGCACCAAGGTTCATAAAGCAACTATTAACAGACCTAAAGGAAGATGTTAAAAACAACACAATAATAGTAGGGGACCTCAACACCCCACTCACATCAATGGACAGATCATCCAGACAGAAAATCAACAAGGAAATAGTGGAGCTAAACGAAAAACTAAAACAATTGGACTTAATAGACATATATAGAACACTTCATCCTAAAGCAGCAGAATACACATTCTTCTCAAGTGCACATGGAACATTCTCAAGGATAGACCATATGTTGGGAAACAAGGCAAGCCTCTACAAATTTAAAACAACTGAAATAATAACAAGCATCTTCTCTGATCATAATGCTATAAGGCTAGAAATTAATTACAAGAAAAAAGCTGAGAAAGGCACAAGGATGTGGAGACTAAACAATATGCTACTGAACAAGCAATGGATCATTGAAGAAATTAAAGAAGAAATAAAAAAATACCTGGAGACAAATGAAAATGATAACATGCCATACCAACTCATATGGGATACAGCAAAAGCTGTATTAAGAGGAAAATTCATCGCAATACAAACACATCTTAACAAACAAGAAAAATCCCAAATAAGCAATCTTAAACTACACCTAACTGAATTAGAGAAAGAAGAACAAACAAAGCCCAAAGTCAGCAGAAGGACATAAATAATACAAATCAGAGCAGAAATAAATGCTATTGAAATGAAAATGGTGGTAGAAAGGATCAATGAAACAAAGAGCTGGTTCTTTGAGAAGATGAACAAAATTGACAAACTCCTAGCCAGACTTACAAAGAAAAAAAGGGAGAAAGCTCAAACAGAATCAGAAATGAAAGAGGAGAAATAACACAGACTCTGCAGAAATACAACGGATTATAAGAGAATACTATGAAAAATTATATGCCAACAAAATGGATAACCTAGAGGAAATGGATAAATTCTTGGACTCCTATAATCTCCCAAAGCTCACTCAAGAAGCAGTAGACAATTTGAACAGACCAATCACAAGGAAAGAGATTGAAACAGCAATCAAAAACATTCCAAAGAATAAAACCCCAGGACCAGATGGCTTTCCTGGGGAATTCTACCAAACGTTCAGAGAGGATTTAATACCTATCCTTTTGAGGCTATTCCAAAAAATTAGGGAGGATGGAACACTTCCTAACACATTCTATGAGGCCAACATCACGCTGATACCAAAGCCTGACAAGGACACCATGAAAAAAGAGAACTACAGGCCAATATCACTGACGAACATAGATGCAAAAATTCTAAACAAAATTTTGGCAACCAGAATTCAGCAATTCATCAAAAGGATCATACATCATGATCAAGTGGGATTCATACCACGGACACAGGGATGGTTCAACATCTGCAAATCAATCAATGTGATACACCACATCAACAAACTGAGGAATAAAAGCCACATGATCATCTCAATAGATGCAGAGAAAGCATCTGACAAGATCCAACAGCCATTTATGATAAAAACTCTGAACAAAATGGGCATAGAAGGGAACTACCTCAACATAATAAAGGCCACATATGACAAACCCACAGCCAACATCATACTCAATGGGCAAAAACTGAGCGCCATCCCCCTGAAAACAGGAACAAGACAAGGATGCCCTCTACCACCACTCTTATTTAACATAGTACTGGAGGTCCTGGCCAGAGCAATCAGGCAAGAAAAAGGAATAAAAGGAATCCAAATAGGGAGGGAAGAAGTGAAACTCTCACTGTTTGCAGACGACATGATCTTATATATAGAAAACCCCAAAGAATCCATTGGAAAACTCTTAGAAGTAATCAACAACTACAGCAAAGTTGCAGGATATAAAATCAATTTGCATAAATCAGTAGCATTTCTATATTCTAATAACGAACTAACAGAAAAAGAACTCAAGAACACAATACCATTCACAATCACAACAAAAAGAATAAAATACCTTGGGGTAAAAACTAAGGAAGTGAAGGACCTATATAATGAAAATTACAAGGCCTTTCTGAGAGAATTGGATGACGACATAAGGAGATGGAAAGACATTCCATGTACATGGATTGGAAGAATAAACATAGTTAAAATGTCCGTTCTACCTAAAGCAATCTACAGATTCAACGCTATCCCAATCAGAATCCCAATGACATTCTTTACAGAATTAGAACAAAGAATCCTAAAATTCATA